TCTCACTTACAAATACATATGTTGACAGGCAGGTAGGAAAGCCTATCATAATGTTCGGACCGAACATTTTGATTGGGCGAACATTTCTTGGTCCTATGCCTTCCACAGAATATATAAATGCATATAAATACATTTAGACCACTTAACTTAATGATTGCTATCGAGATGTGAAGAGACTTTCAACCAGCATAATAAAAAATGTTTCTGAAGACAATCACCTATTGCACCTTTAATAATAGACTTCACTGTGCTTCTAGACATTGATAAAGCCTTTGGAATTTATTTGTATCCATCTCCTGAATTGTGCCTGTCCACAACTTTATCCCGGAGATCTTTTGACAGTGCCTTGCTACTCATCGTTGATTGTTTGCTTCAGTTGCACTACCAAGGACTGAAATGCTCCAGGAAAGCTCTTTTCATGCTGAGCTAATCAAAATGACCACAGCTGATCACAGTTGAAAGTCAAATGGCTTTGTGTGCCATTGAGAAGGTGATTCGCTACACCTGAATGAGTTTACGAGTCATTTTTAGGAGGGGGTGATCCATTTTCCAACTCGGTGATTGTTTTTTTTTTCTTAGATGTTAGTGCTATATCTTTCACTTGGATGTTATATCTTGCACTGAGTAAATACAGCTGGATAAAACAAAAACTGTATCCGTCTTCATTTCAGGCTGCAAAGCAACAAAATGTGATTATTTTTAAGGGGGTGATTATTTTCTATATATACTACTGATATATACTACTGTGCAAAAGTCTCAAGGTAATGATACACGGGGCAACTTTTTGAGCAATGTTGCTGTCAACAGGCAACCAGGTAAGACACAGGTCCCACGGCTGATCTAAAGTACCCAGATAGAAATTTGTTGCCCATTCTCAATGGGAAAGCCCAAGCAACATTGCAGAGCAACATTGCTCAAAAAAGTTGCCCCGTATATCATCACCTTTGTGCCACTAATATTTTCACCTACCAAAAAAAAAATGGTTTTAACTCCGTTATTTCTACCAAACATTCCTTTTGCCATTAATTGTAATAATCCAGAGAGATTTGTATGCACAAGGAGTCTGAAAACAGCCAGTGCTCCACACATAGATCTGATCTCACCATCATTCAGTCCGTCTGGAATTACATGAAGAAACTGAGACAGACTAAATCCAGAAGAACTGTGGCAACATCTCCAAGATGCTTCAAGAATCCTACCTGCAAAGCTACCTGAAACTAAAACCTAAACTTTTCAAGGTACTGTAGTGAAGTGGGAAGGCGTTTGGGTGGCAGGGGATGATCTTCCTGCTTTATTGGAGTCTCATCCTAATGTATGCCCTCGAGGAACTGTTTACAGCTCTCTCAACACATCTGTGATGCATTACCTACCGCAGCACACACTGGGTAAGGGTTAATGAGCTGAAAAGGGTGTCAGCGCAGCTCATTAACCCTTTCCGTCCATTCACCACATAATTAGGTGCGACCAGTGCAGATTTCTGTTGCTTAATCACACAATAACCTGGCATAGGGGTGGCGGATGTGTTTTGTGTTCAGTTCACAGGGCCTCACATCTACCACCAGAAAAGGAAATGTGAGTGGACTAAGGTAGTATGTTGCCAATAAAAAGATGTTGTTAGCATTGAAATGGTCAAGGGAAAGAGCGGCTGATACTGTAACGTTAATGTAAAGTGTTTAGGAGATTTTTATCGTCCATTCCTTTTAACATTTTTCTTTGACTATTTTTTTACCACCACATATTCTCACGTCGATGTGTGACCCTTACAGTACTAACATTAATATGGTGTACAATCTGAATGTCTGTGTTTTGCCAGTGCCCCAGAGCTCAGTTGCGTCCGTAGGGAAGACAGTGCTACTATGATACTTTCAGGCTCTGCTCTCCCTGGGGTACAGCTGTCCCTCTGGTGTTTGGGTAAACGGGGCTGGTTCTGAATCCTTGGCAACATCCATATGTTTCCCTGTGGAGCTCAGCTGGACTGGGTCAGGAGCATGGGTCAACGCTGTCCTCTTAGTCCCACGCTCTCCCATCCTGGATCTGAGCTGCTGCTCTTCCCAGACGAGACTTCCTCTGGGAGGTTTTCTAGAAAGGCATTCGTTCTCACTCAAGTGTGATTCAACATCGATAGGCTTTCATTAAAGAATCTCTCCGTTTTTGGTGGTCCGCCTGATGCCAGTTTAAAAACATGTGTTTTTCACATTGTCTCTGGCCACAGGTCAGCTTTAAATAACAATCTGTTTATGAATCCTTTTCTAGCAGCTTTTACCAAGATTGCTTTGGTTAGGAGTCCACTCACTTCCTGATGCATTTCTGTTTATGCTGTATACTGACTTTGAGCTCTTCTACACTCAAATCGTTATGTGTTTGAATTACATACTGTATAAAATGTCCGTCCATTTGGATTACACAGTTTTAAAGGGATAGTTCACCCGAATGTTGGTAACCAAACAGTTGCTGTTAGCCATTGACTACCATAGTACTTTTTATCCATACTATGGAAGTCAGTGGCTAACAACGACTGTTTGGTTACCAACATTCTTCAAAATATCTTTTTATGTTCAACTGGAGAAAAAAATTCATACAGGTTTGGAACATCATGAGGGTGAGTAAATGATGACACAATTTTTGGGTGAACTAACCCTTTAACGTAAACAAACTAATAAACTGGGATGCATATGTCATACATACATAAAACCGGTAAGATTTCTGTAATAATTCTGAATGTGTTTTAAATGCACATTAACCAGGTGAATATATTTATCATCAATAAATCCAGTTTGTTTCAGTCTTATACATGTAAACTAAGTGAATGGAGAAGGCCGTAGCTCCAAACATTCGTCCAAAAAACATATATCAAATGTCTTTAGGTGTGTAGATCCAAGCAATTAAACAATCTAAGAATGAATAAAAAAAACTGCACATTCAGAATCGTCCAAAAATCTACTTATTAGAGGCCAAATATAAATCAGAGTGCAGCAAAATGTTTTCGGGTTTAACCCTTGAATGAGCGCAGATGTATGTTCAGTAGCATATTGCACTGAAGAAGTGTAAAACCCGAAAATATTTTGCTGCACTTCTGGACGATTTTGGAGGAGTCCAAAATGAGTTCTTTTTTCATTCTTGTATTGTTCCACAGCTAGCCATATTTTAACCATGTTCATACTTTTTAACGGAATAAATTTAGTTTTTAATTGTTTAAACTATTTATGCTGATTCTAAGCAGTTGGAAGAAATGCATTTTGAAAATATGATTTTAAGCCTTAAAATCCAATTGTGCAAATAGTTAATAATCAACTAATAAACATTTATGAATAACTGACAATGCATCATGTTGAATTTATTATTGTAATTCAAAATGGACGGAAATTGTATTTTAAGTGTTTCATTTACAGATATCGCTGTAATTTACAGACATTCTAATTTACATACAGGCACTGACTTTAGTGCTCCATATTGCATGTGTAGCTAAGCCCTAATACACTTCAAAGCAGGGGCAAAGACCAATTTTACAGGGAAATGTGAAGGAAGGCCACTTTCTGTTGCTACAAGGAGTATCTTTTTCTGCACAGGCTGCAGTGTATTGGTGGAGCATTACATCACCCAAGTGTGGTCTGGCGTACTGTAGCCTCTCCTTAGCAGTAGGGCAGGCTGCAGGAAATCTGTTTATTATTTCTTTTTATTGTCTTGGTGATAGGAATATGTTAACCTTCTTAGTGGGAACCAGCTTCTATGTTCTGGCAGACAGCAGCGTGCACAGGCTACATCTGCTGGGCTGCTTGTGCATCTACATGGTGAATGTCATTATGCACGCATGTCTTGTTTTGTGCTCTTTCACACACTTGCCATATGTTATTACTCGCCGTGAGTCATGGCACAGCTGAGTTATTATATCACAGATAGAAGTATTTTGTTAGCTTCATATACACATCAGTTTAAAGGTTTGAGGTCGGGATGATTTTTCAATTTTTCAAATTTTTTTTGTAAGAAGTGACATTTATTTGAACAAAAATACAGTAAGTATTTTAAAATGAAGGCAGATCTGAATTTTCAGTGTCACACGATCCTTCAGAAATCATTTTAATATGCTGATTTGGTGCTCAAGAAACTTTTATCCATGTTGAAAACAGTAATATTTTTGAGACTTTTTTTCGTCTTGTTTTTTCGTCTTGAATAAGAAGATTAGTAACATTCTAAATGTCTTTACTGTTAATTTTGATCAATTTAAAAACTAAATAGAAATATTAACTACTTAACTAAAAACTTAGGGACAGAAAAAAAATGTTGAACGGTAGTTTATTTTATTTAGCCTAATTGGTTAATAGTTAACAGCACATTATATGTGTTCCCTAGAAATCAAACCCATGACCTTGCTGTTGAAAGCACCACGCTTTACCGTTTGAGCTACAGGACCAGAATTGAATAGAGCCTAGCATCTGTTTTGACTTGGGACAAAAAGAAACCACTTGGCAACCACCTAGAACATCCTAGCAACCACATAGAAATGCCCAGGCGTTGTGAGAGCAAGTTCCACAGTCAAGTTCTGGTCGCATTTCTTTTAGAAATGGTCTCTGAATTGCGTGGCTGTCACAAAGATTAAGGTTTTTATTTGTGTCGATTGATTTAGTGGCCAGTAAGATGTGTTTGTTTATTTGGTTGAGTCTATATCCTGATTGCCCAGTATGGTTGCTCTGCTGCGGTGTTGCCTTCATGTTTCTTTTGGTTCATTAACCATTTAAGATATTATAGCACTTTTGTTTGCTCTCAGACGTTGCAGCTCCAATCTAATTGAAGCAGTAAATCAGTGCTGCACGCAGTACTAGACTAACCTGGGGGAATAGGCTCTGGTTTCTACAGCTCTGTTTGTTTTCTTGAAGGTGTCACAGAGGAATTCTGTCTTCTGTCTTTGTCTCTCTGGCTTGCTCATGCTGCTGTACTAACCCCTGAGCCAGGGCTACAGGCTCAGTACAGTAGTGAATAACACGTGACTGTTTTCATTTCTGAAGGGAGCAACCGCCATGGACCGAAGAGAAACGCCCTGGATTTAGATTAATATCACAGCTCAACAGGTGACCTTTGACTTTCAAGTTTCTCACAGATCTCCTCTGGACCTGTCTCTTGTTTGTTCTTATTGTCATCCCTTGAAGATCTCCTTTTCTCAGCTCGTTATCCTTAGATTTGTTTAAAACTGTTTCTTGATCAAGTCTTTATACAGACTTTTATACTGTTTCTCTACTCAGCCAGCTATTCTACGTGAACTAATATTTCCCTGTGCCAAACTAATCCAAACCAGCGATCATTATTTCTACTAATCTGTTTTTTTCCCTTCACCACACTCATTATTGTGATGTAGAGTGACTTCACCCTTGAACTTTTGCTCTACAAATAGAGAAAAGAGGACTGTGGTTTTTTTTACATCACCTGAAAATGGTTTAAAGGTCCGACCTGATAAAGGATGTGTAGCAGAGAGAAGCACTGGAGTACAGTGAAGTGCTCTTGAGAGTACCGTCATGTGTAGTTGCTTAATGAAGGCAGTGAGCGAGGGCAAGGGGTCATGTTGGCATGGCTCACCGAAGATCTCCTTTTCTCAGCTCGTTATCCTTAGATTTGTTTAAAACTGTTTCTTGATCAAGTCTTTATACAGACTTTTATACTGTTTCTCTACTCAGCCAGCTATTCTACGTGAACTAATATTTCCCTGTGCCAAACTAATCCAAACCAGCGATCATTATTTCTACTAATCTGTTTTTTTCCCTTCACCACACTCATTATTGTGATGTAGAGTGACTTCACCCTTGAACTTTTCCTCTACAAATTTTTTTTTTTTACGTCACTTGATAATGGTTTAAAGGTCAGACCTGATAAAGCAGAGAGAAGCACAGGAGTACAGTAAGGTGCTCTTGAGAGTGCTCTCTTCATGTGTAGTTGCTTGATGAAGGCAGTGAGCGAGGGCAAAGGGTCATGTTGGCATGGCTCGGCTCAGCAGTTTTTTTGGTGGCTCACTCACCGAGCTGTTTTCCTCCTTTCTTCCTCTCTCCTTCTGCCACAGAACAAACTCTGACTCAGCTCTGCACACCAGTGCCATGAGCCCAAACCCACAGGATCCTTTTGGCAGGAACCAGCAGATGGGCAGAGGACCTCCTCAGCGAAACGGTGAGCTTGGCTTCCACCTCCTCCTCCCTATTTTTGTGCTAGTTTAATACCTCCACAACCATACTGTAGTTTTACAAAGCCATTGTTAATGCATGGCATAACAGTGTGGTTGAAACAGAAATGCAGGTGGTCAAATGGATTGTACAATGCCATTCATAGATGATAAATCAATTATTTATACCAGACCCAAATCAAACCGTCCCACCCAGTGCAGCGTGTTTGCACGACACAGCTGGGGCTCACTGTCATGTTGTTTATCTAGTTGTCTTGGTTACAAACACAGGCATTTCAGAAGGTACGCTGAAAATGGCTGACAATCAGCCCGCCCAGAGTGCTGTTGAAGGATGTTTCCTCTACCCTTATTTTTCTGATTTCTTGAGCTTTTGAAAACAAATTAATGTACAGCCCCATGAGCTTTATAGATGCAATAGTCTGGCTCATACTCCCCTGAAAGGACACATAGCCAGAGTTCACAGACACATGCTACAGTGAAGATGTTTGTTAGACTACAGGATTGTCATAGGGTGGGATGATCGGTGCAAATGTTTTATCATTAGAACAGTGAAAGTCTGGCGGAGAAAGTTACGGCTGTGCCAAAACAATTATGTATTGATCTTTTTTTTCATGACATTGCATCAGCACTTCAGGTCCTTTTTAATATATTTTGTTCATTAATATAATTTCCTTCAGTTTGATTAATAAAAACTGGGCCAGGGAGTGCATTTTGAGGTTGATCATCTGCTTGTGCATTACTGATGTTTGTTACATATAAACATTGCTTTGCGGATTGTTATGTCACATCCCTTTCTAGTATTCTTACATGTATCATGTGAATTACAGGATATGCATGGTCATGACGTGAAGAGTTTATGTAACATTACACAGACAGGCACTATTATAGTAATCTCATGCCAGTGCATACACTTCCGTTCAAAGGTTTGGGCTCAATAAGATGCTTTTTTATGTATGTATTTATTATTATTTTTAAATAAATTAATACGCTTATTCAGCAAGGATACATTAAATCAAAAGTGACAAAAACATGTATAATATTTCAAATGACTGTATTTTTAATCAAATGATCAAATGAGTGCACTCATGGTGAGTTTTTTTCAAAATCATTAAATTATCCTAACTTCATCTTCATAACAAAATTTCAGACCAGAGAGTGATATATTTTTTGAATCATTTAAATATTGTTGTGTGGGACACAATGAGCTCAGAGACTGCAAGCTAAGCATTTAAAAACTCTATGTACTAATGGTGTTCTGTGAATGAATGGTGCTGGCAAAGGGCTTTAGAGATAATGTAGTATTCTCACATGAAACGGAGTAGAGGCGTAAACCATATTTGATATGTCAGCTGTTGAATGCTTGAATCTGATTGGTTGACAAACATTCTAAGGTGTGCAATTATTTTCAGGGAAACGCATGGCTAAAGTAGTTCCAGGCAGGTCTTGACCACACTACCGCATGTCCGTATCACTTCGCAAAATTATTTCCGTTATTATTTCAAAGGTCCCTACAACAGCAAATAACCAAAACCCACAATGACTGACGAAGCAAGTAAATACAGTAAACAATGCGATGAAAATGACCAATTATTTCCATGTTTTTGCCACAAAATTACATTTAATTATGTACGGAAAGCACATACTCTCTTTCTCCTGCTCTCTCCCATACAAACGCACACACATACAATACAGACACACACACTCGCACACACGGAAACATACATGTGCACAGAAATGTGTTGTTAGCGCTGCTTTGACAATTTTATTAGTAAAATAGTTTAGCAAATTAAGAGCTATATGACATTTCTTACTTGGGTATAACGGCAGATGAACTTACAGTTTCACTATTAGTAGAGACGCTACACTGTTGAGAGACGCATAGACTCAAGTAATTCACACAAACTTAATCGCTTTTGCATTCACTCTGTTTATCACTTGCTCTCTCACAAATTGATTTGCAGGCATTTAGGCTTGAGATTGTGGCTCATCTGAACTGCATATCCAAGCTAAAAGCATCTTTGTGTAGTAGATCTTTGTTTAGTCAGTAGGTTAAAATAAGATATTGAATGAAGATGTGGAGCAAATAAAATGGTCACATGTACATCGAGATATGGAGCACTATAACTCAGAGGCTGTCTGTGGCCCAGGGCAGTTGTTTTCTCAGACACTTCAAACTGATAAGAAACGTCTTCACTTAAGGACATGGCAGACAGCATGCTTTTAATATCTGTCTGGCAGCTCATCTGAATTATGCACACAGTTGACTGTGGAGGTGTGCAGTGAGGCTCACGTAATGTGAACAAGTACAAACCAGCCTCTCACATGGGACAAAAATTGGTCTCGCTTCCGCTATCACAGTAGTCTCATCCCAAACCTGCCAGCCAATGCAAATGTGCTATTCATGTGTGGATCCCCCGAAAGCATTAAGACCGTATCGTAACTGTGTGCCACGTTTAACTGCTTGACTCTGACCCTACTGAGATTTATGATTTGACATCATTTATAATAATTACTGCTGTTTTTAGTGTTTTAGTTTGTTTTTTTTCTCCACTGATTTTGTGCAACATTTTGTTGATTTTGGGAGCTTGCTATACAGATAATTATAGATAAATGTAATTGCAAATAATGTATTTTAACATAAACTATGGCGTTTTTTAGGTACTTTTACACTTCAAGATAAAACGTGACAAAACTCTGGACTCAGGCCAACGTTTTTCTGTTCTAGTTGTCTTTTTTTCGTCAGTTATGGTGTTGAATGAGACTCTCAGTGAGGGGGAAATGAGGTGTCGCCGTACTGTTTGTTTGATTCATTGTGCGTCGCAGTTGGGCGTCTGAGACCGGCAGCTTTGTTGAAGCGGTGGAGCTGGTTGATCTGGCTCTGGGCCCACACTGCATCAGTTCTGGGTCAGCATCGGCAGAGGAAGCAGAAAGGAGGTTTGTTTTCCACAGGATCTCTGTGGTGCACACAAAACAATGCCTCTCCATTGATTCACTTTGCGCTTGTGGTCACAGATTTCTCCCAATATGCTTTTTTGTGTCCTCTCTTTTTTTTCTTAATGAGACAGTACACACTAAGAAGCCATTTTCAATTCCCCCCTCTGGAGTTTGTGCCCTCTGTCTTCAGTGGGTGGAGTGAGTGTGCACTCTGAATGACTCATTTCAATGAATCAAAGGTTTGTGAGAAGACTGAACTGAACTTTGCAGTGTAAAGATATGTTCAAAAGATTGTTTGTTTGTTTTGAAAGAAATCAATGCTTTTATTTAGCAAGGATGCCTAAAAAACTGATAGTAAAGACATGTTACAAAAGTTTCTATTTCAAATAAATGTTTTTGAACTTCCTATCAAAGAATCCTGAAAAAAAATTATCTTTGTATTCACAAAAATATTAAGCAGCAAAACTGTTTGCAGCATTTATAGTAATAAGAAATGTTTCTTGAACACCAAATCAGCAAATTAGATTGATTTCTGACGTGTCATGTGACACTGAAGACTTGAGTAATGATGCTGAAAATGTAGCTTTGCCATCACAGAAATAAATTCTTTTAAAATATATTCAAATAGAAAATAAATGTTTTATTTTAAATTCAGTTATTTGATATTCCACAATATTAATTTCAAAATGCTTGAGGAGCATGAGACTTTAAGAAATAAAAACTTAAAAACATTTTATCAACCCCAAACTTTTCAACAGTAGTGAATGAAGGAAAGCTACTTGCTAGAGGCTGTTACTTCTTCACGCCAGGCATTTTAGGAAGCACCTTGTTTTAAGCCTTTCACTTTTTTTTATTTTTTATTTAAACTTCAGTTTGTTATATTATGTTGTTTTTACCATTATGGAAAAAAGCCGCTAAAAGGGTCTGAAAGTTGCTAAATCTAGTGCTAAAGTCACGCTTGTGTGTGTGAGACGCGGGAGCTGATGGCAGGGGGCGGTGGATATTTGTGGCGGTCAATGTGGATATTGTGGATGAGTTCTTCTGTGTCATCACGTTCTATTAGTTCTACAGCTTCAGTTTCTGGGGGGGGGATTACATGTGTGAATGCAAAATGATTAACTGCTCTTTGATCTAATTGGCCTTTCTCTTTGTGGTCGTGCAGCCAGCATGAATGAAGCAGAGGTGGACAATTCTGGAGATGGTAAGTGTGTTGTCATGCTTGTTGATTCTCTATCATGTGTTCAGCCCACCAAAAAAAAAGATTCACTCCTTTAATGACATCATCAGCCCTCACAGTACTCCGCTGTGGTTTGCTGTAGTGGGCTGATGGATGATGTTGGTGTTGTGGAACAGTTGGTGTGCTCTGCTGGCGGTCCCACTCAGATTACATGTCTCTCATATAGTTTACCGTAAGATAACTTAATAAAGCTCGCTTTTTTGGTTGAGTTGTAGGATGCAGATTGAGTATTTACTTTTACTCTTTTGTTGACAAAATGAAATTAGTGACTTAAAGATGTGCAGCCCTAACTGTGCAATTTGAATAGGGGATGCAGCAGGGATGATTTGAATTGTTTAATGAGGGACTGTCTTTTTTCCTCTGCAGTGTTCTCATTTCATGCTGTCCCTAATGAGGAGAATCTGCTCGGAGTGAATAAGCCACTGCCAAAACAGTTATGGGAGGCCAAAAAGGTGAGTGCATGAGGGCTAGTGATGTTATAGTATCTGTAGTACTAAGTAACAACTCAGTTGTAATTCGGTTGTGACCAAAGAAATCAGAATTGTATCAAAATATCAGATGTGTAACTGTATAAAGGCAGCCTAATAATCCTCTTACTGGCCATTATTACCAGTGTTGGGCAGTAACGCATTACCTAGTAACGCGTTACTGTAATTTGATTACTTTTTTAGTAACGGAGTAATTTAACGCGTTATAGTTTTCAAAATAGTAATTAGAGTATAGTTACAAGCCGATGTCTCTATACGTTACTGCCGCATTACATTGCTGACAGAATGCAGTGTTTTATAATCTGGAGATTGTAAAAAGGATGTAGCACATGCACTGTCGAGTCCAGTGCCAGTGGATTACAGACCTGCTTTTCCGCAACAGAGTGCCGCGGGACAAGATGTGCGACTGGGTAGGAGTAATCAGTAATCAGTAATTTGATTAAATTTTCAGAGTAACTTGCCCAACACTGGCTATTACTAACAAAATAAAGACCTGTGTTCAATAGCATGTTAGTTTTTGATTCGTTTCGTTACCAAAAAGTATTGAGTATTGATCTAAATGATTGTTTACCGAAATTAAGTTATATTTTTTGGTTATGTATTGAGTTTGAAGTTACATTTATTTGTTCACTTTTTACTCAGAAATCTGTCTGGCTTTGGTTGACCTCTATATTTTGCTTGTATTGGTTAGTCTGTTCAATGCTTTGTGTTTCTAAATTTGTCCTGTAAACCAATATATTATGCCCGCAATTTATTCAGTCATTTCCTAACTTTGACCAAGTAAAGTTGGTAACTTTGATCTAGAGGAAGTAATTCTATTAAAAGTTGGCGTGTAAAAGAATTTGTGATTGTTTTTCTTCCCTATTGTAACATGTATTCAAGTACAAAAGCTTCTCGACCAGGGAAAATATGCAGGGTGGAATTTTGTTGTCCATGGGGAATTGATTGTTGTTTGTTAATTACAGCAATCATTTGATGTGAGTGACAGTTTGCTGGAGGGATTGAATCTAGGATACCTTATTACTCAGTCCTCACGTCAGCATACACGTCATCAGAGAAGAGATGACATAGTAAGGAGAGGGGCATGTTAATTTTTTAACAGGCCACGTGTGTGTTTTTTTTTTTTTTTTTTTTGAAAAACTAATGTTGTGTGTGGATAAGTGATTTATATTAAACACGGCAACATTCCATAAACAAATTGTCAGTTTTGATTTCATGGCGACTTTAACAGAATCTTTGTGCTGTTGATTACATATTAGTGTTATTAGTATGATGCCACTTGGTCTTACCAGCTACAATACTAATTGATTGTCTGTAGATAGCAGTTCGGCAAAATGTATCTCCGTGAGTGTGGATATATAATGCACATGTTGCCTGGTTGCAGGTGCAGTCTCTGTCCTCCCGGCCAAAGTCCTGCGAAGTTCCTGGAATCAAGTAAGTTAAGAGAAATTTGTGTGCATGTTGATTGGTTGCTTACTAGATATTTGCTGTACATTTAAACATGCTGAAATTGTCCGTCTCTGTTTCTCTGCAGTATATTCCCTTCTCCAGAGCAGAATGCAGGTTTGTCTCACTACCAGGGCACTTTAAACACTGGCGGGTCTCTGCCTGACCTCAGTAACCTGCACTTCCCCTCTCCGCTGCCCACTCCTCTGGACCCCGACGAGGCTGGATATCCCAACCTGAGTGGAGGCAGCAGCACCGGCAACCTCCCTGCAGCCATGATGCATCTGGGCATCGGAAACTCACAAGGTCAGTGGGTTTACTAAATACAGCATAAACAGACACCTTAATACTTGTACTGGATTTCACACATGCGTAATCTCATAGTCTAAGAATAAAAAGAGCTTTTGTTTGTGACCAAATCGTTATTCAAGGTGGCTCGTTTGCTGTTAAAGCATCTCCTGGCTTCGGAAGAGCCTGGCTGAACGCTCCGGGCTTTGTTTAACGGCACACTGTAGGCTTAAACTGTAGGTGCTTTCTGGGGTATGAATGCCATGTGTTTTCTAAAGGGCCACATCCATGCAGAAGACCACAGCTCTCCTCCTCTCTCTTCCCCCCCTTTTAAATCCATCCGCCATCTGATCGCTCTCTTTGACTTCCATTCTCTTCAGCTTTATTCTTTCCATTCGCTCTCATGTCTGGGAACAGGGTGTGCTGGGATGTTTCTGCTGCCCGTTTCTAGCTGATTGGCTGATCCCCAGAGACACAGCTGACCTTTAACCCCTGAATTGGCTGCTCATAAACAGCTCTTTTCTCTCTCGCTCTCGCTGGTCCAGTAACCTGCAGACAATTGCTCAGTGTCTTTTCTGAGGAGTGGACATCAGGACAGGAGCCGGCCTGCACGCAGTGACTCATAAAGCCATTATTGGCTTATCTCGGTTTCATTAAGGTGGTTCAAGAAGCACTTTTGACCCCTGAAGCTGATTATGTCATGTTTGCTGTCCTCGTAGGGCTGTCATCCTCTCTAAGCAACCCTTCCATCCAGGCGTCCCTCACCAACTCTCAGCTACACTCATCTCTCAGCAATCCATCAATCCACACATCTCTGCGTCTCTCCTCGCTGTCCAACCCTCCTCCGACGGGCATGGCGAGTTCACCCAGGAGAAGGCCGGCCCCCATTAGTCCCCTGACACTCTCTCCAGGGGGCGATCAGAGGCGAAGCCTGGGCAAGCAGCTCTCCCCGACAATGTCGCCCTCTCTCTCTCCGATCACACAGGTGAGAAAGTGCTCATTAAAACTCCTCATCCAGCATCTCATGTTCTTCGGTGGTATCTTTACTCAATCCTCATCCAGACCATCACCGGCTTCTTGTATTAAACTGCTTACAGGGCTCCAGAGTGTGTCTAATGTGGTTAGACTTTTCAGGACTACAAATAAAAAAAGGAAAAATGTAATTATGCATTACCATTTTCTGCTGTTAATGCTGCAAGTCGAACAATCAAATGTGTGGTGATACATCACTACCGATTGAACCACACAGCACAGTCCAATTATATACATGGCATGAGTGCATAGCAAAGGGTTGTTTATTCTAAGTTTTTGGATGGCGCCCCACTGATCAGTTTTGATCCTGCAAGGGTTTGTAACAGATTTCTGTGTTGAATTTAATTGGTTGCACTGAGCAACACTGTTCATGTTGGTCTGGATTTTGTGGCACAACAATTTGAATTCAACACAGAATTCTTTGCTACAAATGGTTAAAATTTCATTTTATACTCACTCATGTCATTCCATTCAAAAATACAGTAAAACAAAAAATATTGTGAAATATTATTACAATTAAAAATAACAGTTTTCTTTTTTTTATGTATTTAAAATGCGTTTTTTCCTATAAGTCTGTATTCCTGTATTCTAGTCGTCAGTGTCACATGATCCTTCAGAAATCATTCTAATATGCTGATTTTGTGCACAAGAAACATTTCTTATTATCAATGTTGAAAACAGTTGTTCTGCTTACAGACCCCAAACTTTTGAACAGTGGTGCATGTCATAATATATATTATAAAGAGCAATTGAAGTTTAGACCCTGTGGTTAAATAAAAAAAAAGTTTTTGTAACGTACCGAATCAGATGCTTCCCTGTATAATTTACAGCAACCACAGAGAAAGCAAGACGGAAATCAAATTGAATCAAGAGCTTGGGAATCAAAATGTAGTCTAATCGAAATAGGAATTCCGAATCAACACCCAGCCCCAGTTATTAATTTTGAAGGAGCTCTTTTCCAAACAATGGCTGTTCATAATTACCATGTCTGTCATGCTGTTAAAATGAAAATAAAAAAGGGCAAAGGAGTGGTCCATATGACCCGTGTAGTGTCTTCTAAAATCATACATCATTTTTTTTGTGTGTGGAACAGAATACCAAATCAGGTGCTAGTACCATCTGTAAAACTTGATGCCATCATTCTCATGTTTTCCAAAAATGTATTTATTTTGTGGAGCCCTGTGCTTACAAATGTGGCAGCTGGTTTGTTGTTCAAGTCTGCCAAGAACAGGGTGTTCTGTAGCGTACCGTAGCTAAGCTCCCAGTCAAATGATTTTATAACTTTCCCATTCTCTTTAGGGTGTTGCCTTGGACACCAGCAACTTGCCGATGGAGCCGCCCCCTCCCTACCCCCTTTACCAGCAAACCCAGCAGCCCCTGCAGCAGCAGCAGCATCAGCAGCAGCAACCTCCTCCCCAGTCCCATCCGTCTATTCAGCAGAGCTCCCAGCATCCAGCGGTGCAGCAACTACCAACAGGTGGCCAACAGCAGCACCAGCCTGTGTCCCCACTGCAGAGCGTCCCGCTCGACTTTAATTCCAGTGCTGTGAGTTCCTATTGAAACATTAGTTGAAACAGGGAGCTGAGGAGAATAACTAATATTCAGCAGTTACAGATGCTGGTTATTCTTGGCTGAACAGGAAAACACTGAATCTTATTTTTGCTTGCAGCACAACAGCATGGGGGCATTTTTTAATGATCCCTTTATGGAGCTGCAGTTTTCTGGACGTCAGTCCAAGTGTTCGTCCTATCAGGTAAAGATATGAGGAAGATCTCTCTGATTCCTATCTTGGTCATGTTTTGTCTTATAAACAGTGTAACAAATATTTTGTGTGTGTGTTTAAACAGCAGGATCAGTATAATATGTTGGAGAATGTCATGAGCTCTGTGGCAGGAGGGTTTGACCCTTCCTCCAACCTCTACTACTCCCAGGCTGCCCTCATGGGCTTGGGCGGTAGCCATGGCAACCTGCAAGACCACCTTCAGATGAGGCCCAATATGCTCTACTCTAATTGTGGAGGAGGAGTGCCCAACATCATCCTTACAGGTTGGGATGATCAAACAGCAGGTCGTTGTGAGTCATTAGGAGAATTTACCCTCTTCGTTTTTCATCCTTGTGCCCTGCTTTCAAAGCACAAACTCTGATTCTTAAAATGAGTTTCATTCATGGCTCTTGTTTTATGTAACTGCCAATAAAATGTAAATGGCAAAAAAATAGGAAATGTAACATTCAATAGATATGCTAGTGGACTTTCATCTAGTCGTCCAACAGCTGACTACAGTGTCTTCCATGTTATTATGCAAGTGACATATAAGTAGAATTTCAGTAAAATAAACATTCAGATTTTTGTTTTAATAGAAAGTGTTTGTTTTATTTCTCATATTTTTTTAGATAACTGGTATCAGTCTCATGCAGGTTTGGTAAATAGTTTGCCTGGTCTTCTTAGGTAAATGGTGAACCTACTTAAAGAGGTTGTTCCAAATTATTAAGCAAGTCACGTTTCTCATGCAATCTGGTGAGGAAGAAAGATCTTTCTGAAGATGGAAATCATGAAACAACTAATATTTTGTGAAAACTGAATAGAGATTATCGAACTGTCAAAATATTTCTGAGTGAATCAGAACAGAATAACTCGATCAGATAAAGGCTTTTAGGGAAGGTTTCTGTCAAAGTAATTAAGTGTATTAAAAGGGCAGCTGTAAAAAGATTGTTGAGCAGCAAGCAGGTATTTGAAGCTTCTGGTGTCTCTGGAGTCTCAAGAACCTCTCCATGCAGGCTGGCAGTTGTGCATAAAGCTGCATTTCAGTATTCCCCTAACCAAAGCTCACAAAGCTCATGCTTTTGCATGAGAACTGTGACTTGCTTAATAATGCAGAACATTATAATCTCCATTTACCTAAGAAGACCTGGCAAACTCGTTACAAAATCTGTCTAAGATTGATACCAGCTATCTATAAAAAAAAAAGACACTTTCTATGAAAAAATACAATCTGAATGTTTATTATACTGAAATCCCACTGATAGGTCAATTGCATAATTTTGAACAGTGTTGTTTATATAATTTGTTTTTCTTTTTTGAGGTTTGGGGTCTGAAAGATTTTTTATAATGTTTTTGAAAGAAGTCTCTTATGCTGACCATTTATTTGATTTAAGACCAAAGCTCACAAAGCTCATGCTTTTGCATGAGAACTGTGACTTGCTTAATAATGCAGAACATTATAATCTCCATTTACCTAAGAAGACCTGGCAAACTCGTTACAAAATCTGTCTAAGATTGATACCAGCTATCTATAAAAAAAAAAGACACTTTCTATGAAAAAATACAATCTGAATGTTTATTATACTGAAATCCCACTGATATTGTCAATTGCATAATTTTGAACAGTGTTGTTTATATAATTTGTTTTTCTTTTTTGAGGTTTGGGGTTTGAAAGATTTTTTATAATGTTTTTGAAAGAAGTCTCTTATGCTGACCATTTATTTGATTTAAGAATACAGTAAAACCAGAATTTTTTAAAAAATATATTATTACAATGGAAATATAAAATGTTAATATATTTAAAAATGTTATTAATTCCTGTGATGGCAAAGCTGAATTTTCAGTAGCAGAATTTACTCCAGTGTCACATGATCCTTCAGAAATCATTCCAATATGTTGATTTGATGCACAAGAAATATTATTATTTTCAGTTTTGAAAACAGCTGTGCTGTTTTTTGTGGAAACTGATGTCTATTTCAAAAGTCTTTAATTAATAGAAAGTTCAAAACAAATTTCATTTATCCTTGTTGAATAAAAGTATTACTTCTTCCAAAGAAAAAATAATAATTCTGGCTGACCCCAAACTTTGGAACAGTAGTGCATATATGAACAAGAACATTTTGGCATCTCACTTAATATGTTTTGAGCTGCCCAACACACGTGTTGCAGTCTTAAGATAGTATGTGAATTTAAAGATAGCAAAAATGGTATCTTGAGATGGCAACAGTAGTGCATATATGAACAAGAACATTTTGGCATCTCACTTAATATGTTTTGAGCTGCCCAACACAAGTGTTGCAGTCTTAAGATAGTATGTGAATTTAAAGATAGCAAAAATGGTATATATATTTGTTCCATTCCATTGTTTTCATCTTGCTGAACATAATGCATTTTATGTAAATGCCCCAGAAGAAACGCATCCAATTGGGGCCACGTCAACCAAAAACCAGGTAGATTATATAGGTGTAAAGGCCGATTAGTTGACTAAGCATTCAGGCAACCCACTGAAAACAAAAAATATGAAACATCTTTCACATCTCCTGTACTCACTCACGGTTCTTCTGTTTTTCGTCCTCTCTCAGACGACTCCAATCCCAGCCTCTCTAAGGACATCAGCAGTGTGTTGTCTGCAGTGCCAGAGTGTTTTGACTCAGAGGGAATTTTTCCACTTGAGGATGAACTACGTATTGAGCCGCTCAGTTTGGATGGACTGAGCATGCTCAGTGACCCTGATATGGTCCTCCCTGACCCCTCAGTAGAGGACAGCTTTCGCAGCGACAGACTTTGAAGAGCCACATCATGCATGTATACATTCATACAAACAAGTCCACGAATGTGACGACTAAAGCACAGAACCTATAGCACTCAGATTTCTATAAACATAAAAAGATCTTTACATTTTCTTAAACACAAAGCGCATGCATAAACACTACATGTTGATATAAAGTGAATCATCATGCTCGCATGAGTCACCCAGACGCCGTCTCTCAGTGGCCGCCATTGCTCAGCATGCTCCATCTGCCTCCCAAGACACCGATCATCACTCAACAGATGTGTGAAACCAATCTGGATGCTTCGCACGTGCTTTGACCTGTAAAGACAATGAAACAAACAAATATGCATGAACACATGAACCTGCCGTGTATCTACTCCTTGTGCCGAGTGACAATCACGACACCGAAGCCATAGCAATGCCAAACCGATGGCTGGATCGGGCTATTGTATTGCTGGTCTAATTCAAAGCCATGCAACCAAAACAAAATGAATGTGCTTGTTTTACACATTGCTTTTGGATGTTATCAGTAGGTCACACCAGCTTTCAATAACATTGCGGTAGCAGCAAAAGGATGGGACCATCCTGAATGTGGAGACAGTGCGAAGATGACAATATGACGTGTTATGGAACAGAAGTAGTCGACAGCCGGCCTAATACCAGCCCATATTGATGCACCAAATGCTGTGATATGAGACACCAGCAGGATGGGTTGAGCCTTCCCCCCTCGCCACACCACCCGAACTCTGTTTCAGTATCAAGATTAGAACATGTTCAGTGTAATGAACCGTCTGGCTCGGGCTACTGAGTAGCAGACACATTTAAACTAACCAACAGTCTCTGGTGTCACTGCCTGAAGTTTAGAACTAAGCTAACGGCCGATAATGCTGTGCGACAGGTTTTCAATCACCGAATCAGCGATCACTTTGCTGGCCCGTAGATGAGCCAAAGCCACTCATACACGCTCCAGGCTGTGAAAACTCAGTCCGTCCTTCAGAATGTGGCCAGTGCCCCTTATTCAAATGAGAATTGAGAATTCAATGAATTATACCTCTTCCTGCACAGTGACGTACTATAAAGAAAGGGGGAGTATAGATGATGTGTATAGAGCATTATTTTGCATATTTTTTAAAAACGATAAAAGAGAGCTTTGCCACATATATATATATATATGCCTAACAATTTTCTGACTAGAATGTATTTTTGAAACAGAAAAAGGGCAAACTGTTTACAAAGATACTACGAATTGTGAGTAGGCGCTGAAATTTTTATGATTTTGGTATAAATCTAAAAGAAAAAAAAACACATTTGTATTTCGCTGATATTGATCCAGTCCATAGTTAGCGAATAGAAGCTTTGGCTATGCAGAAGTTTAGCACAGGACTGTCTCAGACGGCAGGAACAATCTAGACCATAAAAAGGAACTGTTTTACTTGTATATTTACTATATCTTTGTGCTTATTTCAGATTTTATACAGACTTGTAATGCGGCTTCTAATATGTCAGTTGTATTTGTACTTGTTAATCTGTTCATGTTCTCTCCCTTTGAACTTTTGTTGTGGACGTTTTTTTTCGTGAACGTTTGTTGTGAAGGTATTTCTCACTGTTGTTCAGCATGGGCCCTCTCTCTGCAGCTCTGATCCTTGTGAGGGGTTTTCACGAGAAAAAAAAAATAACACTTTGGGATTTTAAAATGTTTTTAAAAGGTGTGATTTGTGGACTTGGGACATATGTATCATTGTTATCGCTCATGTTGAAGTTTGCACTGATCTGAACAAAATTGATCTTTTGATTTTAAGCAGTAGTTTTTATTTTGGCGAAAATGTTATTTGCGATGACGCAAAGACGTCTGCTTTTTTGAGGGCTCTTGCCTTTTCTCGGCATGTTATGCATGTGAAGACTTTGAAATGAATGCAGTATATTTTGTGAATGATTAGATTCAAATGACCAAATATTCTGAGATGAAGAAAGATGTCTAAATATAATTCAGGAATGTAATTTTTTTTCACCATATCGTGAGTCATTTTATGCCCATCTCTTGCCTCTTGACTGCCAGATCTGAGCAAAATGTTCCCAGATTCCCAGAGAAACGGTTATAACCAAAATCCAGAAATCCAAAACACACCCTTCTGTCTGTGTTGTTATCTGTGTAGCTTTCTATTCCACTTCCAGAGGTTGGTAATAGAAAGCAATAACACCGTTATCTGTGTGCCATGTCCACAATTTTGTTTTTGCTATGTATTTTTGCATTCATCCAGGTCATTACAGAGTTTTGAGTTCAAAACCATCTTGTTGGTCAAATCAATCAAGTCGCTTTTACTAAAATTCTTCCTCTTTTTGTTGTGCATTGTTCATTGCGGTCCAAGTAGGCGAGAAGAGAGGATGATTGACACAAGCAGAGATTTAAGGTGTGGTGACATTAGCAAAATTTTGTGGGTAAAAAAGGTTAATTGTCTATTGTCAATGGTGGAGCGACGTATGAAGCACAGAAGTCACTTTCAAACCAGTTTTCTGTTGGTCAGTGTGGCGAATCTGTGTGACTAACTTGAACCTACTGTGAAATCGACATTTGTAAACTTTTGCTGAAAATTCCCAATTGCATAGATTTCTGTTGAAATTACTGGATTTAGCCTACGAAAATTAGCCAAACAACGTTAATGTGAACCACACTATAAACCCCTGGATCTAATCTTTGATAAATCTGGTGCCCCATGTACAAAAAGCAGAACCAGATTTGACTTTCACCCCCTGCAGCTGCAGTTTCTTTGTTTTGTAACATTGTTCTTTAGGTGTGTTAGGACCTATTTTAAGAGAACATAATGTTTAAGAGGGTTGCAGACAGAAGCTCTGGGCTGTTGAGCATGTTTTGCTGCATCCTGTTTCTGCAAAAAAAAGTCTCTCTCTTTATATAACAAATATCTTTTTATCATCTCTCTCATTGTGTCATCTTCTCAGTTAACTTTTGAAATTTTTCATGAATATTAACAGTGGCATCATATTTTATAGTCTTCGGTGGTTTCATTGGGTCTGATGGTTTGTTTCTGCCTCAGATGACATGAGAGTCTGTTCCCATCATTCATTCTCTCTCTCTCTGGAAGGAGTTTTTAATCTTCTCCTGCCTTATTCTTGCTTTTGACCACTTGCTGTCCCTCTGAGTGTACGGTGATACTCTTAAATTTTTTCCCCCTGTATTTCCAGGCCCTCTGCTCTAATGGCAAAAAAGGTGTTTATTGGCTTTTTGTAAATGTAGTCTTCATAACAAGATATTAGTTGTTTCTTCTGTTTATAGAAGGAATTCTTTTTTTCTTTGTTTTTGTTGTCTTTTTTTGTCACCTTTAAAAAATGTACAGTTATATTATTTAAAAAATATTGTCATGTCCACTAGTGTTACTTTTTTTGTAATATGCCATAATAAAATCGTTCTTTTTGTGATATTACAGATGTACTAAACCAGTGGTTTTCAATCCCAAACCTAGGGACCCACAGCACTGCAAATTTTGTATGTCTTCCTTATTTAACACACGTGATTGAGATGATCAGCAGAGATCCATGAGAGATGTAGGCTACAAAATACAGTGCTGTGAGTCCCCAGAACCCAGACTGAAAACCTCTGTATTACACCACAAGGCGTTTGGTTTGTGAAGTATATTATAGTGCTTTCCTTTGATTTAATATAAACAAATAAAACTCTTTTCTGGCTCAGACATCTGCTGTGGACTTTCATTCCTGTGACATCAACTTTCTGGTGTCAGCCATTTTCTCTCCACTTGATGTCTTTTTTTATGCTAAACCACTAGATGGAGGCAGTAAGACGCTTGTGCCATTTGTAGATGAAGTACTAAAGGCAATGGATGCAGAAAAATGACTTGAAAGATGGTTCATTTTGCACAAAATGATCGGATAAAATAAATAAATAACAATAAAAAACGCTATGCTAATGTAAGTAGTAAGAACCCCTGAGCCTTAACAATTAAAAATTCAGATATTGAAATTGTGTCATTATTTACCCCCATGCCGTTCCAAACCTGTATGCATTGGACACAAAAGAAGATATTTTGAAAAGTATTAGTAACCAAAGAAGAAAAGTATTAGTACAGAAGAAAGAGTTTGGAAGGACATGCGGAGAAATAAATGACGACAGGTTTTTTGAGGTACAGTATATGCAGCACTTTTTGTAAACTGCATTGTTAGTATGTTGTGAAAAACGTAAGAAACACTCAATGAAGGGTTGAATTCCTGTGCATCCAGATGAAATCTTATCTGCTTTGACTTCGTTGATCATCTAGCCTCTGGTATCTGGTAATGCATAGCATGACACCATTAGATATTATACAGTGCTGGTACAAACCAAAGTGGGCTGGTGCTGAATAGATGTTTTTATAACGTGTGAACAATCTGTCTGGTTCTAATGCAGCAAAGCGTGAAACATGTCTCAAATATGTGGAGATGCCCTGGCAAGCCTTTCATTACTGTGATCCCTTACTCACGATAATGGATTTTAAAACGCAGGTAGCCTAGTAATAACATGTTGGACAGCAGTGAGAGGAAGAACATGATAAGAGCATGCTAATCTCTTTCACCGCTGGAATTCACATAAACTCTCGTAAGGCCAGCTATCGCTCCATATATCGATTATATACCAAGCAGGGCCGGCTGCAAACTTCCAGGGTGGCAATAAGTCTTAAAACGTAAATAAAACGTAAATAATTTAGTTATATTAACAATCTTAATTAAAATGTAAAAAAACAAAACAAAAAAAAAACACTACAAATAAAGATGTACATTAAACTGACATTATATTTTTGAGTTTGTTTTATTTCATCAGAACTACCAGAGATACTAGATTAGATAGGAGGGCTTTAAATATGGTTTTGGAATAACTGATATATAATGTGTCAATAATCAGAGGGAGTGAGATTTAATTGACAAATTTCAGGTGCTAAACTACACTTTCCTCTTTTGATTCCCACCCAGCAGGCCACGTTGTTATTTGTTTAAACACCGGATTTGACGTCCGATGACCAAAATTCAGTGTCAGGACAATGTCTAATGCCAACATCAATTTGACATAGAATACTGACGGAAGCTGATGTTGATATTTTGCTGGTTTTACAAATTTTTACATATGTCCAACATTGGAGTCCAAAGTCTTTCTTACCTTATTTTGACATCCAGTGTTTGTTGGGCTCTTTCCATACATTTTTGCTTTTGACTGTATAAGGAATCTCCAGAGATGTTTTATACAGCTCACTCCTTTAAGTTCTTTCTGTTATCTACATCCAGGGTGCTTTTAATCATGTTTACATTCTAGAGCTTAATTCTCTTAATTGCAGCTAGATAAAATATCATTCTAATCTCAAGCAGGGAGTGAGAGAATTAAAATATTGAGAAAATGTTTATTTTCATTGCTAAGTGATGTGATTAATCTACAGTCAGTCTAAAGGCTCAGTTTTAAATGGTTCAGTTTTTTGTTGTTGTTGTTGTTTTTTCATTTTTTCCAGAATGGTGGATACCACCCCCTTGCATGTCCCTTCTTAGTTTAATGAATGGTTCAATTAAGTTATTTGTTGTTATTTAGGGAGGATGTCAGCAACTCCTTGTCCTGGAGAGAAGACTTGTGACCTCTGACTGCAGCTGAATGTGATGATGACCACAAACACATCAGTTCAATGTGTTCTGATTGATGAAATCTAAACAGCTTAAAATCACACATTCAAAGTATCCAGACCATTTTCTTTCTTACGAATTCTTATATTTTGTTTTTGTAGATAACCGCTCACACCTCAACCCTCACTGGGCTTGTTAAATCAGTTCAAACCCTCGGGATGTGTGCTGTAGGGATTTAGCCGAGTTCTTTTGGCAGCTTTTCTTACTTTATACTCACTATTGCTTTGCCTCATTCTGCCCTTAGCTTTCAGCTCTGCTGATTTGTTTTAATTCTCACTGCATTTCAAACTTTAAGGTTGACTGTGTTCTCCACTTAAGTACTAGCTTTTTTCTTCAGGTAGCTTCTCCATCCTCTCAGGAGCCACATGTTTCTTTTGTACAGTCATGTCTGATAATTCTTGATAAATTTTGCTGTCACAACTTCCTCATCATATTTCTAATGTGTTAAACTGTTAAATCCAGTTAAATGTGATGTGGATATAGTTTAAAAGGTGTAAACTGTGTGTATGATTTACCGTATATACGACTGTGGAATCTTTACTGTATTTAATACCAATGCTGTTTGTCAGTTCACTTATCTGGGAAACTGAAACCGGCGCTACATTCATGTGTCTCACATAAAAGTAACTCACTCTTGTTTCATACAAGACCAACTGACACCAGCTTGCAACTCAAGTTATTGACACTGTAAATGACCTTAGACAACTTCAGAATTAATACTACTGTAATATTGAAGTTTTTATCTTTTTGCTATGCTGACAGTTTTGAACATTGTAATGGACTATTTTTTCTCAGTAGAAACTTTAAGATAATATACAGGTAAATTTATAATAAATTATAATTTCAACTCAAAATCAATATTGCATTTCCCCATATTTATTTAGTTGGTAAAAAAGCCATGTAATAGGCAGGATAATGTGCAGTCAGACAGTTGTTATTGCAAAATAAACGTGACGAGGTGATCAGAAACCCTACGTGTAGCGGATCTCTTACATGTTGTTAATTTGTGACTGACTTGAGTGAATCAATGTGCTCTGTGTTTCATTGTTACCATTATTCAGCTTCAAAGTGACTTCACTGCATCACTGACTTAAAGGAGGTTTGATCATGGCTAATTATTCAGTCTAGCTGGACTAATTTTGAACTTGTTGCAGGTCCTCTGAAATCTGTGTTTTTCCTGATGAATGTCTCGTTCTTAGAAGTCTGGGAAGTAAGTAAGCAAGAGCTGATTTACGTCCACTTCCCGGACACACTACAGGTTTCATCATTCATTTGCCACCCAGTATTATAAACAAAGGGGTGAGAACCTTTTCCACAGGTCATTCAGAAACTGTGTGGACATGACTGCTTTTTTTTCAGACTTCTGTTTCATTCTCAATAGTATGCAAAAAAAAAAAAAGTGCTGTGTTTGTGACTGTTAGCTCAACACACAGTAACAACAGCAAGTCCATTAATAACTTTTATTTCAAACAGCAACACTCACTGGCATAAATTTAGCAGTCATCCAGCTGCTTCTGGGTTCTTGGATTACAATATATTGGCTTAGTGGTAACAGAAATAGCCAACACTGATGTAGGATCAGCTAACAACCACAAAAATAATTCCCTGGAAGTGCTTGCAGTTGTGTACTTAATACTAAATTTAACTGATATTTATGGGAAATAAATTAAATTGAAAGATGTTACTTTCCTAAGATAATCAATCCAGTTATCTGTTAAAGATTTTTACTTTTGTGGTTTGCTAAATTCTTTCTTTGTAGGAAGTCCACTTAATTTCATGCTAGCATTGTTACAGGTCTTGCATGTTATGACAAAACAGGCAGATTTAACCCATTATTGTGATTAAGATACAGCCAACTGAACTGACCGACATGCTAACAGAGGATCATCTTGCACAAACGTGTCTACAGACACAAACACTGACACTGTGTAATCATTAACTTGACCTTTTGTTGAGTCAGAGCACAGCTGTGTTTAAACACTGTGTTTTATGAAGATACTCAGAAGCAGTTTATTCACCCCGATCTCCTCAGGTCCCCTTCCTTTCCTGTATGTCAAACTATTGTGTTTCTCAAGGACCTCACATAAGAAAATGTGGTGGAATGGCTGAACTTGTGTTTATTTGTCCTAGAGTGTTATCAGTAAATCTCTGTACAAAGATGCCTGATATAATCAGTGATAAAATCAGGGAGGGGAACTCCATAGTTTATCATGACAACTCTTGGGATATAGTTTGCACAGCCATGCTGCTGTGAGCATGTAGCCATGGCACTGCAGTGCAAATAGCATACAAGAAATTACCCATAGCAGATCTGGACAGGTGGAGCTGGGGGAGGTGGAGGGTTTCAAAGGAACTCTGCACTGCAGGACCAGGGGTGTGTTCCACTTTGCTTTTAGACACACACTCACAAACTTCCCTAAGCACTTCTTTTCTGTGCAGTCTCCACCTCCACTAAAGTGCGTTCCTCTTGACCGAGGGAACGAGTCACCAAATACAGTATGTATACTTCATGCAGCTCCATAAAACACAATGCAACATGATTGTGACGATACAGCAGATCACAATTAATTTACCCCCACCACACACAACTATAAGAATGATTTTGAGATATAACTGCATATTTTGTGATAGAACTGCTTAATACTTGTTGCTACCTTAAGCTGACTGTTTGTTACACAGTTGTTACACAGTTTATTGCAGGGGTTCTCAATTCTGGCCCTCAAGGTCCAATTTCCTGCAAAATTCAGCTCCAGCCTTGATCACACTCACCTGCCTGTAACTTTCTAGTAATCCTGCAGATCTTGATTACCTTGTTAAGGTGTGTTTGATTAGGGATGGAGCTGAACTCTACAGTAAAGTGGACCTGGAGGGCCAGAGTCGAGAACCCCTGGTTTATTGTATAAAAATGTTTTTGTAAATATAATTTAATTTAAATTATTTTCTCCAATATCCCAAGCATACTTGATCAAGGGCTTAGGACATTCCAATTCAACCCAGTGCAAGGATTCTGCCAGTAGTGGGTGCTTGTGCAACATAAACAATGACGTATGATGAGGCAAAATAGACCAATCAGCTTGTGCTCTGTAGTGAACAATGTGATTGCTAGCAGATTGCATTATGGACCCATCAGCCAGCGCCATCTAGAGTCTAATGACAGAAATAGATCTTTATCTATCACAAATTAAGCAGGAAGTGATAGCATGGATGGAGAACCAATAGTCATTTGAGTACTGTGGGCATCACTGAGAGGCACTACGTATTTAATGACTACAAGGCAAATTCCCTTTCAGTGTTGTTTTTTTTTAATGACATTTGATAGTCATTTATTCATTTTTTTTTTTTAATCTTGGGGGGGGGGACTCACACATCTGCTGCCCTCTGGGCTTTCACACAGTGAGATTATTCCAGCTACTAAGCAGCTGTTCTATATTTTAACCTTTAGCTGATGATTCTCTGAGATTTCATTCCTAATCACTCAGCTGTTTACATTGTGATGAGCAGAGCCTCCTATGAAATACCTCCCGGGTCAAAATAGTTGACGTGCTTGTTAATTTTCCTATTAAACTCAATTTAAGTCAGAACATTGTTTGGGGTAAGTGCTCTCTGAGCTAAAAGATGTCATGTAACGATCTGTCAACACACAAATAGTGGATTTCTGTTCCTCACTACTAGGAATGAAGCATGCCTTCTTGTTGTCCCTTGTTTGCAAAGCTTAAATATTATGCATTTTGAGAGGGAATAATAGAAAGAACACCTGCCTATAATATTAGAAGTTGTTACCTGTCAAACATCCACCATCTGGCATAAACCATTTAGAGCAGCTGTCATAAGTGAAGTGTACAGGAGGGAGTCAATCCTCCAGAGACATGTTATCATCAACTCTCATACATTTGTGCTATCTGGCTCACAAGGCCTATCGCAAAACAGCCCTCACAATGCAGTCATTCCACTCTCGCATACCTAACTGCACACAGGGAATGGATTCATTTGCACTGTGGGATACATCACTACTGCCACTAATAAACAGCGTGCAAGTTGAAGGCTAGTCAGGTTGCCAGGGCAACTATTAAACTTTGCACTTGCTGAATGCAGAAGAGCTGTGTACAGATATATCTTCATCAAGAGATAACGTGTAAACTGGCTGCTGTTTGTATATCATACACAGCAGTCATGTATATCCTTGAATGTGATGCTTGTATATGGAGTGATTTATGTGTTTAGATGTCTCTTCATTAGACTTTTGCACTCAGTAACCCCCCGTTCTGAAAATAAGCTCCATTGTGAGTGGTTGTAAGGCTGTATAGGAAAAAAAATTATGAGTTTTTTCCTGCTCAGAGCAAATATCAAGCTATATCACACAAGCAGATAATCACAGTCCTGCTGATATTCAGACTGACAGCATGTCAATGAATGCGATTGTTTTAAGACAACAGTTCAAAGAAAGTTATAGACAAAATATTGCCAGCTACTAAGTCTATTTGTGCTCCACCGATAAAAATAGTTTCATACAAAGCAGAAATTAGTTATTGCACATCTCTGAGCAATACACAATAATGGGGGTTCCTTTCTAAATGAATCAGTGTTTTAATGAGTTGGTTGAATGAATGACGCTGTGTCCGAAATCACATCTGAGTAGGTACATTTGATGATCAACAAACTCCACAACTGTCAAAAGTACAGTATGTTCTAAATAGTGTGAATGTATGTAGTTTGAATGAAATTTGGACATATTACAACCCCCTTATTGTCTTTTGACTTAAGAGTGTCAGTTGCGTCGCATTACTGGCATTCACAACTCCTGTGCCATGGCCTCATGGGATAGATAGTAAAGTGACCTGTTCAAAAGCAGTATATGTCATCGGGTACTTTTTGCCTATTGTTTTTTGAATACTGAATTCGGGCATACTCCTCCTTTCACATGCCATTTTTTACCTACTATGTAGGGAAGTATGCAGCCATAGTCACTTGTTTTGTTCCTGAATGAATCAGTATTTTAAACTAATGGGTTGAATAAATTATTCAATGACTCACTTTTTGCCACCTACTGGTGTTGTGACTTAACATGCAGAAAGACAATATGAACCCACTCTTAAACTTTTATTTGCTTCAAAATGTGAGAAAGAGATGTTGGTACACTGTATTATGGATTCTGTTGGCAAAATCACAAGTTGAGTACAGCTGTCAGTGTCGGGTTTACAGGGATTACTCTCTGCCTGTTAGGCACACATACATTGAACTCTGGAACACTGTCATTCCCAGGTTTTTTATTCCCTTGTATTATGGTTACTAAAGATTATTTTATTCTGATTCATCGGGTACTTTTTGCCTATTGTTTTTTGAATACTGAATTCGGGCATACTCCTCCTTTCACATGCCATTTTTTACCTACTATGTAGGGAAGTATGCAGCCATAGTCACTTGTTTTGTTCCTGAATGAATCAGTATTTTAAACTAATGGGTTGAATAAATTATTCAATTACTCACTTTTTGCCACCTACTGGTGTTGTGACTTAACATGCAGAAAGACAATATGAACCCACTCTTAAACTTTTATTTGCTTCAAAATGTGAGAAAGAGATGTTGGTACACTGTATTAAGGATTCTGTTGGCAATTCTGTTATTCCCTTGTATTATGGTTACTAAAGATTATTTTATTCTGATTGACCAGTCAAGTGGTTATTGATAGAGTTATACATCTATGACCTGGAGAAATAAACAATGGATAAAAATATGAAAGTATATACACACACAAGTGAAGGTGAACAAACCAGAAGATGCACTGTGGTCTGTTCACTGCAGCATCTGCTATCATTAAAGACACCACTGGGACTGCTTGTCAAAAATGTTGTTGAGCAATCACACAAATCTCCATCAAATCAATGAATGACTGTCTTTTACACTTGAAATATGTATGCTTGAATGCAATACAATTTAAAAATGCTGACTGTTATCTTCATATCTATATAGAGATTAAAGTGAAAAAATTAAAAACCCAAAATCATCGTCATTCCCTCACCCTGAAGTTGTTCCAAACCTGTATGAGTTTCTTTTTTTCTGTTGAACACAGAATATATTTTGAAGAATGATGGTAACCAAACAGTTGCTGGTTACCAACATTCTTCAAAAAAATCTTCTTTTGTGTTCAACAGAAATGTATACAGGTTTGGAACAACTTCAGGCTGAGGAAATGACAAATCCATATTGCTATAAAATATAGCATTCTGTGTAGAATTCAAATAGCTCCGATACATTTTGTGGTCTGCGCCGACTCGCGCATGTGATCTGCTCCGTGCTATCGTGTCTCTGGACCGGAGCAGAGTGTGTGTGCGGTGCGGTGGTTAGCGTGACACAGCGCGAAACCAGACTGCTTTTTTTATCAATGGAAAGCATATTTACACTGTTTGAATCGTTCCCTGTCCCCTATATAGTGCACTACATGCCATTCACTGTACAGAAAATACTAATTCTGTGGACAAGCGACCGATTTCAGCCGCGGCTTCAGCGTCTATTTTACAGTGTAGGGGGCGGGCGCTTCGGATTCTAGAGAGCATTTGATTGGACAGAAAGTTTGATGAGAAGCTGAAGTACGATGTGACGTCAAAAAAAAAATCGTTGAGCCGTTTTGGCTGAAGTGAGGAACTGCAAGCTTTGAATACTTATATCTTCTAAATGCGAATTTTGTCACTGTTTTGGAGCACACTGCCTTATAGATAACCTTAAGACTAACATATTGATACTAACACCCAAAAAAACTTTAATTTTGATTTCATGGGGACTTTAAGGTTCACAATACAAGGACAATTTATTACATGCATGAACTACAGCTACTGGAGCATTTACAATCTGGATTGGGCAACATTCCGTTTAAGAGGGGCGTGTTTACTAGTTTTTCATCGGAATGTAGGCGCACACTGGGCTGAGCTTCAGGTGAACGCGGCGGCACGCAAAGCTGCGGCTCTCATTCACATCAATACAAACTCTGGCTTAGTTTATTTACATACGCCGGATCATCACAGACGCTGCTTTTTGACGGGTAACTCACTACTACTTTATTATGCGTGCTGCGTTTATATATGTTTTGTTTGTCATCTGAAATAAGTTTTACTCTCACAGAGGATGCTCTGTAGCCTAAAACGAAATGTGTACAGTAAATAAAAAAATCATTATGATGTAACTTCATCTTGTCCCTCTTGCCACAATAATTTCTGTCATTTCTAATTAGAGTTTCGACTTGGTTTTCTTTATCAGTAATTAAACTCAAAGTGGTTTATGTTACCTTGATTTTACTGGGGGAAAAAGGCAGCAATTAAACGTGATTTAACTGAACAATAATATATTATGCTAATATATAGAAATGTTGTTGTTATTGTTATTATTATTATCATCAAGAAAATACATCCTGTTCAGTTTTTGGATGTAATGACACACAACGTTTGTGCAACGATAAAATTAGGACAAACGCAATATTATATCTCTTCTCAGATGATATTCAGCGCCTGATGTGAATCTGAAACTGAATGTGAAATCTACAGGAGGACCAAGTGTCCTGACCGAAGAGCCGTTATTTTCTCTCAAGGAACACGGATGTCGGGTGTGCTGAGAGGCTCAGGTAGAGTTCACAGAAAACCAAGCCACATGAAGACAAGAAGATCTGAAGTCTTATAACCAGACCTTCCTGTGAGATCGGACGCTGGACACGCTGATATGAAACTGAAAGCGATTCAGAGGTTTGCTCTATGAAACAGCACCTTGGAAAGTGAGAAGGACTTTAATGTAAATAAGCTGGGACGACGTGAAGTAGCCTAGGCCTATATGTATTTTCAATGATTCATTTTTTATTCAGGATTATGTAGGATTCAGGTCATCCTCTTTGGGTTCTGTTTGAAAACTTCAGGAAAAGTACCCAGCAGAGGAAACACTTGTGAAACATGGATGCAATTAGGTTTCCCGATTTTTTTGATGATAAAAACCTTTGGGATCACACATCTCGTGGTCTTTACTTTATCAGATGAGTCCAGTTTCAGATCTCAAGAAGTTATTTTGTGACACCTGACGAAGACCTAAAATGCAGAAGGCAAACAACAGGTATGTGGATCATGCTCCTCTACTGTGAGGGGAAACACGTTGATGATTTTATTGTATTGCTGAAGGGAAGATGGAAAAGAACAAAGAAAACAACCTGGGACAGACTCGAGTCCTTAAGACCTATGGGTCATTGACGTAATGATTAAAAAATGCAGTAAAAATACACCTCTTCTACGACAAACATATTTTCACCTCTGAATTAAATGATTAAAATGATATTATTATTTGATGCTTACCTTTTAAATTTAGTTAAAAAGCACCAACACAGGAAGCCATTTTTTGTCATGTGACCCGTTGAAAACTATATATTTCAAATATTTTGCATTTTTTTATCATCTCAGACATCCTCATTTGCGTTATTTGTTGCAATTGAATTATACAAAGCCAAATTTTATTTCAGTCACAGTTACTTTGCAAGTGTTATAAGTGTTATTGTTCAACATTTTTATTATCTGTTTCAATCAGTTAAAATCATTATTAATGATAAAGTCATATTGTTTTTTTTTTAAATCACATTTTCATGACAGGCATAGGTTTATGTTCTTACCTTCAGGCTATAGCAGTCAAAACCATCTAAATGAACATCATTATTGTCTTTTAACTATAGACCTTTTGACCCTTGACCTTGCTAATAAACTGAGCTAATATGCTAAACTGTTGAGTGCAGGTTGTACTGTTGAGAATTTTATTTTAGGGAATCATGATGCATTACTTACAGTCTGTCTCTTTTGATCGTGTTTATTCACAATGATTAGAGATGCACATGTAATCAAACAAAAATGTATTTCATCATTTTGCTCTTCTGAATCAGTTCTTAATGGGAGTGTATTGTTTATAATTGACCAGTGTCCACTCTGGGTTGCTATTAAAATAAGCCTCGTAGCCCATGTTCACAGAAGATTAGGAAGATGAACAATGTTTGTACACAAATGTATGATGGAGAAAGAAATACTGTGGCATGTTTACATGAGTTCTCAGATTTTGAATTCATAGGCATTACAACAATACAAAGAAGACAGTCGGGCTTTAGCAAAGCTGTAAAGAGTTTCTGAGAATCAGCTCCTTTGATGAGTCAGTCGTTGTGTGGTCTCTTAGTATGCTGACCTCACTGCTGGGAGTCAGACTCCTACTCAAAAAATGCACGTAAACATGTTTTCTCAGTGGCAGTGATTTCTCAATGTATAGGACACACCGTCACTATTTGTTGTCATTAATCAAGAGTCTTTGATGTAGAGCAGCAACACTTATACAGTGAGCCCTGTAGTCCAGGCTCCATTTTAAAGTCAAATTGGGTGGTGTGTAAGACTTTGTGATTGACTTACATGATTTATTTTCTCTGTCTCCAGGAAACTGTCTCTGTGCCAGGCCCTCACCCTCATAACACTACTGATGTCTCCAAGTTGCCTGTCCTCTCTGCCTGTAAGATGTTCCCTATCCCATTATCCTTCAGTTTATAGACCATCTGCAACAGTAACTTTAATGTCCTGACAGGCAGTTAAACTGAATTTTAGGGACAATCTTGAACAGTCAGTTGGGTATGCTCAGATCGGCAAGGCTCACTACCAAGGTTTTGCTCACTTTAACTAGAGTGCTGTCTTTCCTGTTGATTGCCAAGAGCGGAGCTTATTCAGAGCAACCAGGGCAGGATCACCTCGGGGGTTCAGAGACCGGGGGCCCGTTCTTCGTACGTCGCTTATTACATCCGAGATGAAATGTCACATCCAAGATGATATTATCGCGCTAATCAGGATCTGGCTAATTCGGTTCTTCGAACGCACCTGTTGTTGATGATTAGTATGGCTGGATTGAGTTATCTGAGATAATTGTGCGTTCATGGGTTGGTTTAAAAGGGGCTATGTATCGATACTCGAAACCACGATCAGCAATGCAGCGATTGGCTGGCGGCAAGACAGCAACGTAATGACATCATATAATTAAAAAAGACACCTGACGAAAAACTTGACAAATTTCTGGACTTTTATTAGGAAACAGCCAAGCGAACAAAACTACATAAATGTTATAATAGATAAATGAAATGTGGACTGTTTTTATTTTATTTTATTTTTTTTACATGATTCCCAATTATTTATATTCCGATGAGCTTCCAAGAACCAAACAATCCAAGATCATGCCAAATCGTCAACAATCAAATCCAGCTAACTGGGTTAGCGACGTACGAAGAACGGGCCCCGGGATGCCACCCTGTATTGTTTTGGATTTGCTGTTTATACTCATTGCGGAAATGATCAGTTAAGAAGAACATGACATTTGGCTCATGCTCTCTCTTTAACATTTAAAAGTGTTGTTCAGCCAAAAAAAATAAAAAATTCTGCCATCGTTTAGTCACACTCATTTAATTCCAAACCTGTATGATTTTTGTTCATCTTCAAGACAGAAATTAAAATGTTTTTAATGAAACCTGAGAGATTTCTGTCCTTCCATTGAAAGTCCATTCATCCAAAACTTATGATAAAACTGTCAAGCAAGCATGTTTGAGCTTGCCTTTACCATATTTGATGATTTTTATGTATATGTGTGTTAATATATGAATGAAAAGCCTAAATTAAATCTGTTCATCATATAAAGTGATTGTGTCTCTTCAAAAGACTTTTAAACCGTTTGATTCACATGGATTACTTATGATGTCTCCACCAAAGCCTCAAAGTTTTGGTGGAATTAATTTTTCAGTGGAGGGAGAGCAATCTCTCAGGTTTCATTCAAAATATCTTAATTTAGGAGTGACAAATGAATGTCTAATGAGTTTGGAATGACTTGATTTGAGTAAATGATGACAGACTTTTTATTTTTGGGTGATCTAGCCCTTTTAGTTTCACTGGTAGCTATAGGGAAAGCCTGCATGTACTACTCCGCCTTTGGTGCCTTCTAGACCTCACCCAGTCATTTTCCCAGTTTCTCTCCCAAGATCCAAGCTAGGTCTTGTCCACCAGTCATTATCATCTTCATTCCTCTGGAATGACTTTCACATCTCCTTTAAAGCAAAACAAACAGGACCTATCGACAGGAAGCCAGCAAGTTCATTTCAGAACTAGGAATTTCATTTTCAAAAACTCTTTCCAAGAATATACTTTTTTAAAATCTTGCCTTTGAGGGGAAGCTGGTGTTCTGAAGTTGAAAGGTCGATTTCATTCATCTGCCTTGCCTACGGGCCCCATGGCAGACTGTCATCAACACTAATTTGAGTCTTTGCTACGGTAATGAGGGCAGTTCCAGGTCATCCCGGTATTGAAGATGATGGACGTCGGTCATAAAGCACTATTGTGTCTGTGTGAGTGCAGTCATCTGTCGTTTTAACCCTCACAGCTAGACATCCTCACTCATTACCAAACCTCTATTCACCACAGGTCTCTAGGCTAAATAAGGTCAGGAGATTCTGAGACACATTCCATTTCTTCCTGCAATGGTAATCTTATTAGATGAATCCAACCAAACCTAATTTTTCTGTAATATTTCCACTGAAAGGTTCATTTCAGGAACCAGTACAAAGCTCTGGACCAAAAAGCAGTCATATATGTGCCATTAAAACATCCCTTTAGGGGTCAAACTTTGGAATGCAAGTTCAATGCTCTGTTTGTATGCTGAAATCATTTCATTTTATTGCGACGTGTTTACACACCTCATGTGACTCTCTGAGTTGCTTAAATTAGATTTACGTGATACCGTGGAGGAATATTATTTTAGAAAGACAAACAGCTGCTCTGTATGAGGTTGTATAATATGATAGAAGCAGAAAAACATGCTCAGTCTCCACACCTACATTACATTTACAAGAATACACATACACCTTGAGGAGACGTTAGGCCTCAGGCAACCCATGGAAGCTCCTCACTCTTTACAGGCTGTTACTGCCTGTTTGTCTCAGATCAAAGCCAGCAGCAGATCTAAGAATGACAGAGTAATGCTATCCTTGAAGATGTTTAGTGGTGGTCTGATAGGAATACCGCTTGTGTAATGGAGGCTGTGTGTAATAGAGCTGATGTGGCGTCCTCAGTCGAGCACCTGGGGAACACTCAAACACTTCCACAAATGTCAAGTGCAGTCTAGCATAGCCGATGAGCAGGAAATGTTTTGGTGGCCTCTCATGTGTCTTGAGAACTAGTGCACAATCATTTACACAGTAAGCACAGGATTCCTTTAGTTTAGTGCATGACATACATCAAATGACTTTTTTAGTACAAATATATTTTACATACTATTGTTCTAGTGGATGAGCTTGCAAAAAAACTCTTAGTTGATCTTAACTTAGTTGATCAAATCTGCCACCTCTGCAGTCTCTCTGTGTTGTTCGGCAGCCTTTAATTCACTTCTTTGTTTATACATTTGCAGTCATCCAGACGAGTAGAGCTGGGAGGTGAGGGACCACAGATGCATAGCCAAATACATTTCATGAATGAGTGGGCCTCGTGGGGCGGTTGGTCTGTGTGTTCGCGCTCCTGTGGGGGAGGGGCGTCTGTCCGTACACGCACCTGCATCACCAGGTAAGCTTCTTGACCATAAAAGGCATACAATCTCATCTCAACACACTGCACATTGCAAATTGCTAAAAGGTTCATAGTTGTATCTTAAAAGTACTCTAATATGCACCATTTAGGGGCAGATAAGCTGCAGTAAAGTTCCATTACTGCCCCAGTGACAAGCTGTTGTAGCCCTAAAAGTTCAGTTTTTGCACATTTTTTCTGACAGTGAAAAATGCAAGAATGCATCCTGTGTAAACAGCCTTATGGTGTTTTACTTGATCAGGCTTGATTATTGTTTCTCCCTTTAGAAATCTGGTAGGAGGGCCGTGCTCGGGGGACACCAGGCAATACAAGATTTGTAACACAAAGGTGCAGTAAATTCTTTACTGTTTGAACAGGACTTCTACATAGAAATACATTTCAACTACACCTTATCCTAAACGTGCTAGTGCTAAATATCGAGAGTTTTAATGAATTTGTTTATCTAATTCTACAGTGTATTTTGTTGTATTTTTTGCTTGGACATAAGGTCATCCGCCCTCAAACTTGTCAGATTTTAAATGAATGGTCCTCAATTTCATAACTTCACTTTTTTATATATATCACTTACTACACAAGTGTGTTGATGATGCATGTTAACATTATAAAATACCAACAAACAAAAAAAGTTTCATCCCCTGTATTCATTTTACTTTAGATGTGCATGGTTCTCGTGATCTGTGTCACTATATTGATGTCAGGCAAACTAAAGTTCTCTGAAGTCTTGAGCTTGTATATGTATGGACTTCTCCACAAAGAAAGGTTTTAATGTTAACCTTTGTTTTAGTACAGGACACATCGAGATGGATTAGCACTTGCACTACAAATGCAATATGGACATATGTGTTCCTGACTACCTCTGAATGTGGATTGAGTGATCAGATCATGAAATATTCTGAACTTGCTTACACCTGTGATCCCATCACCCTGGACAGATGTTAAAACCAGCTTTAAATGGGGTCATTGTGTCAGCACACAGATGCATGTGTTGTATTTATCCAGAGTCCTCCAGGGCTGTTCTAAGAGTGTTAATGAATCAGGATTTTAGCAGCTTTAGATGTGTGTGTTTTCTCTCCTGAGCTTTGTGTCTGTAACACCAGGAGTGTCCTGCTGACTCTATGGACTTCAGAGAACTGCAGTGTAAAGCTTTCAATGACAGACCCCTGGTCGCTGGCAGCAGTTACCGTTGGACTACCTTTCATGGAGGTCAGTGAAGCATGACTCTTCTCTTTTGAAGCATGTGTTGTGTTACTGTGTGGATTTTTCCTTCTGCTAGGTGCTTATACGACTGAAACCTGATTTATACTACTTTCAGGATCCGAACCATGTGAGCTCAGTTGCTTGGCAATTGGACACAACTTCTACTACAACTTTGGACGGGTGCTTGATGGCACACCATGCCAATCAGATCAGGGGACAGTCTGTGTGAATGGAAAATGTCTGGTGAGTATATGGCTCTTCACGATTTCATAATAGCTGACAACCACAAAATACTGTGCACCCTCACAAAAATATTTAAAAAACGTATTTTAAAGACCTATTTCTACCTGATCTGACACTTATTGGGCCTTTGTTAGGACTAACAATTCTACTTTTAACGATTCTATTCTGTTTTTAGTTCATGTTTTGAAATATAAGAAAAAAATTAATTAATTTCTTTTTTAAATTGACTAACAAAATAGACATTTAACAGTATTTTTAATAAACGTTTTAAATAAAATACTAAGTATAAATAATTTTAAAACGTTTGAAATATATTCAGGCTTGTTCCATCATATTATGTCATGTTTTCGAGTTGATACATGTTTTTTCAAATTTCACGACATTAAACATTTTTAGGTTACCTGATCAAACTTTTTTTTTTTTTTTTTTACAGTACTTTTGTCTTTCTCACCCCTTCTTCTCTTTAAACTTTAAATCATACTGTATGTATATGGTATTCTGTACTGTGGTATATATCACAGTATCACCATCTGATTCCATCAATGTACAGTTATTTATAAGAACAAAATAAAGTATTTACAAGTACATATTACAAAAACCTACATATATATGCACATGTAAAAATGACTTAATGGACCATAAACCCCATCTAGTCCTGAAGTCATGCTGATGTGAATTTGGTTTCCATCACATGAGGACTGGAAAGGAGAAGCACATGCATAGTGGGGCCCAATCATTAGCACCATGTGGCAGATTGAATCCATATGTGTGAAGCACACCTTGTGTGTGTGTGTGGTTGCCCCTGTGTGAGGCCCCCCCGAATCATGGGAATGTGCCATTGAGAATCATTATTTCACAAACTACCAAGATTAAGGAAGGAAAGGCAAAGAAACAGATAAGGAGAGTGAGAACTCGAGGTCACATATTAGGAGGAGGATTGCACCTGCGTGAAATGCACGGGAGGTCTAAAGAGAAAGAGGGGCTTAATTATATCCTGCAGAAACTGCTGAGGACAGTGTACTCCTCCACACCTCCCTTCTACCTCTGCAGTCTCCCCTGATGTCTCCTTCTCCACCCCTGCACTCTGGAGCTTAAGCCAAACTTCTGCCTGAATGGTCCTGATCCCTGCCCGGGCCTCATGATCCCACTCTTGTTTGTGTGCGGTGGCTCAGACAGAGATCTTTGTCATTCTGCTGCCCGTCTATTTTCACCTGCCTCTGTTTGGACCTGTAGACCTAAAAACACACACAAACACACACCGAGACGGTGGATGGTGCAGCTTTACTTTAGAGTTACACTTACATAGTGGAGGTGGAAACAGATCGTTTTGTCTTTGAACGTGTTTAAAGAATTCAACCCACTATTATTATTTGATCTCCATATTGTGGAGTAGATTGTTTTGGAATTATTCATATAGTTTCAAAATGTTGATATCTGAAATATTGCATAATGTTTGCTTTTTGTTTTTTTCAATGTTATGTTGAAAAAACGAAGCATTCTGCACCATCTTGCTCTGTTGTTTCTACATGTACTACTGTTAAAAATCATTCTAATATGTTGATTTGGTACTTAAGATTATTATCAATGATGAAAACAGTTGAGCTGCTTGATATTTTTGGGGAAACCAGGAGACATTTTTTTTCAGGATTCTTTGATGAATAGGCTAGAAAGTTGAAAAGAACATCATTTAGTTGAAATACAAATGTTTTGTAAGATTATAAAACATTTACATTAACTTCAATTTAACAAATGCTTGCTGAACAAAAGTAAAAAAAAAAAAAAAAACGTACCAACCCCACACTTATATGCATTCCAAAACAGTGATTAGACATTTAATAATTGTGAATAAACACAACAACAGCATAAGTAAAAGCAGCAAAAAATAAACAGCAATCTGCATTATGTATACTTCAGTGAATTTCAGTTTGCAGTGTTAAATTCATTACACCTAATCCATCCTGAATATACATATGATTAAAGAAGTTGAAACACTGAAAACTCATGAAATCAATTACAAATGCCAGAAAATATTGTGCCAAGATGAACGGATGAAAACAAATTGTTGTTGCTATTACAACGATACAATAAGTTTTAGTGTAGTAGATAATGCATTTATTTTGAGGGTCTTTAATCCTGGATGCTTCACTCTTTAGTAGTGTCTAAATTTATTTCTTGGAAGGTCTCCAAGATTCTGTGGGCCATAAGCTGTTCCAGTTTTTCGCCAGGAGTGTTGCGGGATCAGCTTGTACTGTTAAAACAGAATGTGACGGTGCTTGATATTTTGGCTTCTAATCACAGGGTTTGTATGTGTGTGTGTGTGTGTGTGTGACGCAGAAGCCAGGATGTGACTTGATCTTTGGATCTGAGCAGCAGGAGGATGCCTGCATGGTGTGTGGAGGCCACAACTCAACCTGCCTTCATCACAGAAGTGTTTATCAAAGCAACGGGCAGAACAACGGTCAGCAATGAATCTAACTACACTCACACTGACTCTAAACAGCAGAACAGAAAAATAAGCTCAGAATTCAGCAAATATGTTCAGTCTGATTTATATAATCTAACAACTTTGAAATCGCTATTTTTATTGAAACATAATGTAAGAGATGTGAATAAATGGTAACTGCATGAATCTTGTTGAATGAATCCTTGTATTAATCTTGTTTTTCAGACTAGAGGACAATGACCTCCGAACTGTAAAATCTGGCATTTAGCCATGAAATTCTTAACCTAACCACTGTTCAAAAATGTAAAGTTTCTATAAGATTTTTTAATGTTTTTGAAAATAGTCTCTTGTATTCATCAAGTCTACACTGATTTGATCAAAAATACAGTACAATCAGTAATATTGTGAAATATTACAATTTAGTACTGTATAACTGTTTTCTGTTTGAATATATTTTAAAATGTAAAGCTGAATTTTCAGCAGAAATGACTCCAGTCTTCAGTGTGACATGATCCTTCAGAAATTACTCTAATATGCTGATTTGCTCCTCAAGAAACATTTTTATTATCATCAGTGTTGTGCTGCTTAATATTTTTGTGGAAATTCTGATTTGTTCTTCATTCTTTGATGAATAGAAATTTCAAAAGAACAACATTTATTTGAAACAATGTTTTTGTAACAAAGCAATACTCTTCACTGTCAATTTTTGTCAATTTTATGGATTCTTTTTTTTTTGTTTATTTTTTTTATCTTTCTGACACCACATTTTGAACTGTAGTGTAAGTGGTTTCTGGGTGACTCTCTCTCTCTCTTTCTCTTATTTATCTTGCACTTTCTCTCCCCCTCACACATATCTACACGGTTAGAACACTGACACTTCTGGCTTTGAACTTCTCCACATTAAAACAGAATCTCTTAAAATCTTCCATCACACTGGCCAACTGAAAATACAAAGCATTTACATTTAGGGAAAACACAGCGATAATACAGCCATTGTTTGGCCACCCAAAAAGTACTCCGTTTTCCACTCTCTTGCATCTGGATTTCTGAGAGTAGGATAACAGATTCAAGGCTGCCAGCACAGAGCTCTGTAAAGAGGGTCAAAAGTCAAAGGAGAAGAGAAAAACCAGCCTGGGTCGTAATTCTGCAGTTCAGTGCCTTGCAGCTGCAGCAAGACACATCATGGAAACATACAGTTCCATGCAGGACTTCGCACCTGGTGGAAATAACTGTTTTCTTTTATTAAAGAGGCTGAGATGCATTACTCTCTCATCTGTTTCCCTGCAGGACTGTTTGGGTACAGTGAGGTCACTATGATCCCGGCCGGAGCTACACACATCAGAGTGACTGAAAACAGCAGAAACTATCTAGGTTAGAGCACAGTCCTGTGTGTGATCTCTCCAACATGTGGTTCTCAAAGCAAAAGTGGCAAGGTGCACAGTTTGAGACAGCATTGTAGAAGATTACAGAAAAAAGCATTTACTTTGTCTTTATTGGCGCAATAAAACGACATATTGGAGAACTTGCAGTTTTTCACTAGGTTCTTGCAGTAACAAAACTTTGTGCAATTTGTCCGATTGCTATATAAGAGCATTACAATAATGCTGTGTTGTGGTAGTGCAATGTTTTTTTGTTTTTTTTATCACTTTTTGTAATTTATTTTTTAAAGCTCTCCAGAATGGGCGCTCTCAGTTTGTGATCAATGGGAACTGGAAGATCAATGTTCCCGGGGAATACAATGTGGCAGGAACCAAACTTCTGTATCTGCGCTCTGCTGATACCTGGGAGAGTTTCGAAGTTCCAGGACCAACTCAGGAGGACCTGCACATCATGGTTAGCTTTGAAGGGATACTCCACCCCAAAATTAAAATTTTGTCATTAATCACTTACCCCATTGTCGTTCCAAACCTTACGGGTTTGGAACGACATGGGGGTAAGTGATTAATGACAAAATTTTCATTTTGGGGTGGAGTATCCCTTTAAAATGACACAAAAACTTGTTCAGTTCAAACTCGAAAAAAAAAACAAATCAACACAATTATTAACCCCTAGTAGCCAGTGCAACAGTGTGAATTTGTTCTGGTCTGATTGTAGGTCTTGTCCACTGATAAGAGCTCTGGGATTGAATATGAGTACTGGCTTCCTCCAGACCGCTATGCCCTGTATCATGGGAGAAGTCAACTTCGGCAGCCTCACCACACATCAAACCACTTACCCTTTGAACTTCCAACCACTACGACTACCACTACTACAACCACAACCACTACTACAACACAGCCAGTCACAAAACCTCATTTCTGGGGTAAAAATCTTTCATTCCTGATATTTAGGAATAAAATCTATTAAGCTTTTGTTTAAATTACACTAGTTGTATAATATGGTATTAGAAGTATCTTATCTGTGCAGTAACAAGACTTGGTATTTATAAAGGTATAGATTTAATGCTGAGTACACTTGAAGTCTGTGTGATGGGAAATAATTGGCAGAAATGTCCCAGTCGCTTAAAGAGGAGTCTTTTGTAAATACAACTGTGATTTACGAGGTCATGCTCTCAGATCCTGCTGCTCGCTGGCCTCTTCACCCCCCCTATCAACAGCAGCCAGTCCCACGTTTGGAAAGAGATGAAAACCGCAGGAACCGACTGCCTGAAATACATCGTAGAGGTCAGTGCTATATCATTGCCATTAGTGTATGTCACAGCAATTCTAGAGTCAATCTTGCATTTAAATATGGTTATCACTTCTGAAACTTTGCAATGTACAGGTGCATCTCAATAAATTAGAATGTCGTGGAAAAGGAAACCTTTGCGGGTGTTTTGAGTTGATTAGCTGATTGTCATGTCACCATATTCTAATTTGTTGGTGGGTTTTTGTTAAATGTGAGCCAAAATCATCACGATTAAAAGAACCAAAGACTTAAACTACTTCAGTCTGTGTGCATTGAATTTATTTAATACACGAGTTTCACAATTTGAGTTGAATTACTGAAATAAATGAACTTTTCCACGACATTCTAATTTATTGAGATGCACCCGTATACTTAGCAGCATGGCAAGTAAAACTTTTATTCAAATTGTGAATTGGTCATATACAGAAAGCGGGCAAATAGTGCTCCCTTTATCATCACTGAAGCTGTCAATCACCTCATTTCAGCACAAATTGATCACAGTTCTGCACTCTTGCGAAAACTCCTGTTATAATCAATGAAGCTGTCTATACTACACGAATAATCTCTTATTTACATAGTGTTTACGTTACATTGAAGGGATTCATTAGCGTACAGAACAAAAAACTTTGTGCTGAACAAAATGCCAGCATTTTGAATGGTATTCTGCGGATTCTGTCTAACCTGAATGCCTCTGATTGGCTATTGCATTGATATGCATATGTCTTTGATTGGCTATTCTCAGAAGACACGTTGCAAATAGAAATCTCTGAAGCTCTTCACAGAAATACATTTGCACAGGAGTGTTGGAAAGCAGCTGTCTATCAGCGGATACCGAAGTGACTTGGTACTTGGTACTACCAGTACTGCACAAATGGCAATGTTACATTTTTAAAATTGCAGTGTAAACTTGCTACGGAAGTATACATAGTTTTCCGTTATTTGCGTATTATCATGTTTCTTGTTCATTCCCTTTGTTAATTGTTGTTTGCATGGATGACAAAGTCAGGGCTTTTTTTTGTTATGTCATGAATACATTACATCCTTTTGTAGGCCACTGTGGGAAATGTCGCCAGGTACGAGGGAAAGGTGAGCGCCAGAGACAGTATTGCCAAAAAGATTTTGGTGAGTTCAATCAGTATGTCTCCAATGCCAACATAATACAAGTGGTTTAATATACATAGTATATTGGATGATGACAATACATTTGTCTGCTGTGACAGTATTTCGAGCAAAAGTGCTGGAAAAAGTCTATCATGGGGAGGAGACCCGCTATGACGTCCAAATCATCCACACATACCGCAACCGTTATCGTCTGGAGCACCGGGAGTTCCTGTGGGCGCCCAACAAATGTGACTGTCCCTTTCTGGAGGAGGGGCATCAATACGTGTTGATGCTGCGACGGCATATTAATTATGAACGCACTCTCAATCGCATCCTGTTGGAGGAGGACAGCTACGCTCAGCCTTATCGAGCACGTGAGGACAGCCTGCTGCGCCCCCTAGAGGACCTCTGCGGTAACAGAGGCAGCAGGACTCAGTTCAGGGGGTAAACACATGGACGATCACACTTTCACTGCACACTAATTCTCTTGTGCCAAAAAACAAGGCACAGACACAGTGGCGCAACTTAGTAATGACGGGCCCCAGTGCAGGCTATTACGACGGGCCCCCTGGGGTGCACGGTTATGAAGCACATACAAACACACAGCGCTCGTGTCTAGAAGGGAACCCATATAAGCAAATTTGTGCCTAACCTACTTAATTTAGACCAACTAAAATCAGTATCTTATCAGTTTCTTATAATAAATTGAACATCGAAACTCAAATTGAAACTCTTCGCGTGCGTCTCTCTCTAACACACACGGCTGTGCGGCTGTGCGTGCGCCTGTACGCAGCAGCCAGAAGTACCAAATTATTCGTGTTGAATTTTACAGTCATCAGCATGTGTTACCTATTGTATTTGCAAAGCACAGAAGGCAAGGTTATCAGAAGCATTGAGTGTTTCAGCGCTGTGGTGCTGAAATTACCGCAAACATTTTTTTTTTAATTTTTTTTTAGCACAGTAACCCAGTAATCGCGGCAACCGCATTCCTCTCCGAAAAGCAAGAGACTAGATAAGAAATAGGTCTAAAAATTATCAACACCATGTCCCCGAATCATGGCCAACTTTAGCGGCAACAACCACACACAAATGTAATACCCACAAGCACATACAGTACACACAGTGGCGCCTGCAGGTGCACGGCTTGTACGCACTGTGCGTACCATGAGCGCTCAGACTGACCTGAGATTTGCCCCGCAAACATTTCAGCAGTTATTATAGGCCTGTGTGCCCCCTATTTCTGTCGACTGAACCAGCCATGCCATTAATTATGAATGTATCAGTCTTTTGCACGCCAAAGTCAATACGCCAAATAGAAACAGAAAATCGTGCCGTTTTGTTGATATTGTGAATGCACACAAATAAAAGTAGACTCTTTACATTTCCGAATGCATTACTCTTACCTTTATGAGCAAAAATTACGGCGTATTTTAAGTTGTTTCCACTATTAAGAAAAAAATGCAAGTGAGTGATCGCGCTGGCGCCTCCATGTCCTGCAAAGTGCCTTCAGCTTCCACTCTTCACACAAACGATTAGATATGCGCCTAATAGCGCACATTTATGAATGTGTTATGGCGAGCGCTCGGTGCTGCTGTTATCAGTTCTCTCTTGCACTCGAGCACAATGCGCAGTCTTCACACAGAGGATCGTACGCTTTGTTCTGGTAAAAGCACAAAACAAAATGCACACAAACATGTCCTTGCTCTTGATATACAATCACTCTCATTAAAACCTTTGGTTTTAATGAGAGAAGAAAAAAAACTACACGAGGGTGGATTAGAACCCAGAACCTCGGAAATGCTTGACAAAAGTTCTACTGCTAGACTAGTAAACCACACAGTCACTTCATGCGAATGTATGTATTTATTCAGTACTGTGAAGAATCTCGGTACTAATTGTATTTTATTATTAATACGTTTATTATTAATTTATATTAATATAGTCGCTTGCAATGTGGGCAGGGCCCGCGTGCGCTGCGGGCCCCCCCAGCGGCACGGGCCCCAGTGCGGCTGCACTGCCTGCACTGTCTGTAGTTACGCCACTGCACAGACAGAAACCCCGCTCTGACACGGAATTGAAATCAATGATGACTTTACTAAAGCATTTTGCATTCCTCGATAAAGACAATGGACACTTTGTCGGGATGAATTATGTCCATGTGGACAATTATGGATATGACCAAACCAAAGCAAAGAGAGTCACTAAATGAAGCACTTTAGGTGGACTGTCGCCTTCTTTTAAAATTGTACACCTAAGTAAATAATACACACAGAATTTATGATGCCCTTTCTAGCACCACGTGTTTGTTAATGGCATAAAATCATTTGAGAGCATGTCTATCTTTATCATGTGCATTTTGATGTTGTTTTTTATATATGTATTTATAAGCAGACAGTATTTCTAGAGGAAACCTTGATTTATATATTGCCTTATTTTACATGACCATCAATATATTTGCTTTTATCATATTGAAATGATAATGAGTGTTTATGAGTCACATATATTTACACATTCAAGATAAGCAGCATATACATATAACTATCTATGGTGGAGCACTTTTGCCAATGAACAGTTGTTTTCCGCTTTATGTTTGGCAGCTGTTTTTCCCATTCATCATTAGCAGACTAACTAAGATTATCTTATTACCTTGATGTGGTTGTTAAATTATAGTCCAGCCTTTCTACAAAACACACATAAACTCTAGAATGTGTTTTGTTAAAAATATATTTACAAAAATAACATATTTTATGACAGTGACATCAAACTTTCTAACATAAACATGCAATTAGAGCTAAATAGGCTGGCTGTAGCCTTGTTTTTAAAGTCATTATACTTTAGATAACAGCTTTTTCTCCCTGTGGCCTCTGATTGGCTGAGAAAGTGGGCGGGCTAAACCCCCAGAGAATATATATATATATATATATATACACACACACACATATATACACATATACATACATACGTACAAGCCACAGATCAATGAAATAAAGCATTGCTCACATAATTTATCCAACTTAATATACATAAATATAACAAAAGCTTAAATTAAATTGCAAAAAGCCTATTTCAGGTAGTTTCCATATATCTATGCTGTAAGCCAATGAAAAATTCTTCTACATTTTAGAAAAAAACCCCACTAAATGTACAGACATCCAGCTTGTCCAGAAAATGTTAATGTTCCTTTTGGCAATTGTTACACATCCCCTAAAGGTATGCTTGTACAGTCTTAAACATGGTTAACGTTTTCTGTTCCCATGTTGAATTGCATTCATAGTGCTGGTGATCAATGTTCATTTAACTAACGTCTTCTCTTCAGTGGATCCACCGTGACCCATTTCCTTTGCGGTGGAAATCTCCAGTAACCTGCACCCAGCCCCAATGTCTTTGACACTGTTGAACAGTCTGTAATTCACACGCTAACGCTAACGTGGCGGTGGGAGGCAGCCCGTCTCTTGATGCGAGCGCGGCGAGGTTGTTTGTGATCAGACTGGCAGTGGCACAGGGGACCCAGGAGGAGCCACAGATACAGAACCACACATGCCCAGCAGGAGGACAGCTTGACCCAGAATGTGGAGTAACTCCCATGGGTGAAGGTGGTCTCCAGCACAGCAGTCTCATAACTGGGGAGACAGAATAGTATTATCAAAATTGTGATTTGAGCCCGCTTCACATTCATGTACAGTGGGTATAGAAAAGAATCACCCCCCTTTAAAATGATAACATTTTGTTGCTTTGCAGCCTGAAATGAAGATGGACACATTTTTTGTTTTATCCAGCTGTATTTACTCAGTGCAACTTATAACATCCAAGTGAAAGATATAACACCAACATGTTAAGAGTTGGCAAAAGGATCACACCCTCACTCTTGTAAACTCAATCAGGTGTAGCTAATCACCTTCTCAATGGCACACAAAGCTATTTGACTTTCAACTGTGATCAGTTGTGGTCATTTTGATTAGCTCAGCAGGAAAAGAGATTTTCCTGGAGCATTTCAGTCCTTGGTAGTGCAACTGAAACAAACAACCAACTAAAATATCTCTGGGATAAAGTTGTGAACTGGCACAAGTCAGGAGATGGATACAAAAAATTTCAAAAGCTTTATCAATGCCTAGAAGCACGGTGAATTATTGTATTAA